TTTAGTGTGTGTGTGTGTGTGTGTGTGTGTGTGTGTGTGTGTGTGTCTGTGTGTGTGAGGCTGAACACATCTCCTTCCTGTTCTCTCCCCTCTCCCAGAGCGCTCTAGACCACACTGAGTTCAAACGCTGTGGCCCATTTGACCCCTATATTAATGCCAAGGTGTGTACCCATGACCTCTGACCTGCACGCTTTGCCTCCATACGCCACGCCTGGGTTTGTCTGGTTTCTGTTGAGACAGTGTGTAGCTTCACTCTTTCCTCATGTTTGTAATGATGTGGCTTATTTAAGCACACATATGCTGTATATGTGTGAAAGCGTGTATATTTCTAAAGATGTCTGACCACTGACAGACTGCTGTGATTGTCTCAGTGTATCTGATGAGTTTGTCCACTTGTTTTGTGTTGTGTGTTTGAGTGTGAGAGCATTTTATCATGACTGTTCAAGCTGAAATGTATAGTTTTTGTGAATTGCAAAAAGTAATGATGGATTTCTAACTGGTGTCCCAAACTCATAGTGAATAACAGGCGGGAAAAGGTATTATATTTACCATAAATTGGTTTAACATAAATGCTTGTCTGTACATTCAGCAGTACACTTCTACATCATATTTAACCAATAGGAGTTACGCTGTCTGCCTCGGGCACCATTCTTCCTCTGATAAACATTTAAGTTCTGGGGTCCCTCAGGGCTCTATTCTTGGCCCGGTACTGTTTAATCTCTACATGCTACCTTTGAGTTCTATTTTATCTAGATATGGTGTATCTTTTCATCTGTATGCTGACGACACACAAATTTATCTGCCTTTAAAGCGTGACGATAAGCATGCCTTTAAGCCTATATTAGACTGCTTAGACGAACTGAAACTCTGGCTTGCTAGTAATTTCTTAAGTCTTAATGAGAGTAAGACTGAAATTATCTTGTTTGGTTCAAATGATCACAGCATTCATGATGTTGATCTCGATACTCTGTTACCTTACAGTAACACCTGTGTTCGGAATCTGGGGGTTTTGCTTGATAACAGTCTTAAATTTGATAAGCAGATATGTGCTGTGGTTAGGTCTTGTTTCTATCATCTTCGTCTTTTAGCAAAGGTTAAGCCCTTTTTGTCTGGTAAGAATTTCGAAACTGTCATGCATGCATTTGTAACATCTCGACTAGACTATTGTAACTCTTTGTACATTGGTGCCTCTCAGACATGTGTGACACGCCTACAGTTAGTTCAAAATGCCGCAGCCCGGCTCCTCAAAGGGAAGCGTAAAAGTGATCATATCACACCGGTTCTGATTTCACTTCATTGGCTACCGGTCAAATACAGAATTGATTTCAAAGTTTTGTTATTTGTTTTTAAGTCTTTGCGGAACCAGGCACCACAGTACCTATCTGAACTACTGCATCCTCCTTCTCAGTCTTGTGTTTAAAAATCATATCACCGTTATTGAAAAAAATTATATCGCGATACATATTGATATTGAATTATTGTCCAGCCCTAATATATATATATGTATATATACAGTATATATATGTATGTATATATGTATATTAGTTTTTTTTTATTTTTATCCTTTTATTGTTTCTCTAGTGCTTAAATGCTTTGTGTCATTATTGTCTGTTTCTTTTAGCCTTGTAAAGCACTTTGGTCAACACTAGTTGTTTTTAAATGTGCTATACAAATAAACTTGTATTGTATTGTATTATATTTCAAAGACAATAGAAGTAATTATGAAATTACGTACAGAGATGTATTTGCGTCCTGCTTAATGGGGATATTAAAGCACCCAATATTTGCATTTAATATAAGTTTAAACTATGATACATTTTAATTGATGTTTCATTTATATTTTCATATGAGGTTTTTTCTAAACTTATTTTTGGTGCAAACCCTCATAACTGTGTCAGTTAGTATCTTAAAATATTATTGTATTTTAGATAAAATGCATTTATTTATTTATTTATTGAAGATAAGTTCAGTTAGTTCAGGCTATAAAATGTCTTGTGGTGCAACAAAAAAAAAGTTATGATATTCAGCATTTGTATAAAATACCTTTTACCTTAAAAATATTTGTCAACTATTTTTATTTATTTTTTTTTTAAATAATTATTTTTACACACATTCATTCAAGGTCTAAGGAAAATGTTTTATTACTTTTTACTTGATAGTTGCAGCACATTATATTTTTCAAGTCATAAAATTAAATATTAAAATAAATAAATTATTAAATTTTTTTTTTTATTATTTATAAATTAATGATTTGTATAAAATACATTTTACATTGAAAACTATATTTAAAAAAATAATGAATAAATAAGATGTATTCACATGTATTCAAGGTGTTACACCACATCATTAAAATGTTGTAAGTAGTTTCAAATTGAACCTGACAGCGTATACAAACCATACACACAAAGATTAAATTTCTGAGAAATTGGCACGTGTTTTAAACTGTTTTTAAAAGATTTCTCGGTTGCACTTTATTTTACAGTATGTGCTCTTGCATGTACTTACATAGTACTGGCCAGGTAATATAAGGGAACTACGGTCCTAACTAAGGTTAGGTTTAGGGTTAGTACCTACTTATTTCCCAGTTATTGTAACTACTATAATAAGTACATAGTATGCACATGTGGAACAGGACTATAAAATAAAGTGCTACCGATTTTTATTTTTATTTTTGACACTTTATTTGTCGTCGACCCATACATACGCCTCTCTAGCATTTTTCTGTCCCAGTACTGAATAATCAGATGTCTTTGCAGTTTAAAATGGGATAGGAGAAAACATTTTAACATGGAGAAATTTTACACACTTAACCTTCAAAAGCAGCTGTGCTTTGTGTATTAATATGGATGCTGTGGTGTCCTGCTGAATCTCTCTTTCATTCAATAGCGCAGAGGGGTTTCGCCGAAGCGTTAGATCAGTGTCGTATACAAGCGTCTGTGTGTACACGTGTGTTTGTGTGTCAGCCAGGGTACAACTGAACAGACTGAAGTCCAAATGAATAATTCATGAGCTGACAGGAAGTGTGTGTGACTCAGGGTGTTTTGTAATTGTTAAATGGTATTTCTAGCATACCTGCTGTGCCACACACACACATACAGAGTCAAGAAGCTTCTCTGTGTAGCCGTCGGCTTGCATCAGTGTCAGAAAACGTGTGAGGGGTGAGATAGAGATGCAGGCGGAGAGAGGTGGAGCGTAGTCATGGCAACGGTGTCATGGCTGGATAGCTGAGGGGCCGGACCCACTAGCACATCAAGAAAGAGATGAGGGGGGAAAATGGAAGGAAGAGAAAAAGACAGTGTTGAATGGAGGAGAAGCCACAGTATGGAAGGGTTTGGATGTTCTGCAGCTTAATAATAATAATAATAATAATTAGTAGTAGTAGTATTTATTTATTTTAATTAATGAATTTTAATTCTCTAAATTAAACACTCTCTCTCTCACACACACACATGTAGGTTGTTGCAATTGTTTTTCCAAAATATTATGTTACGTGTTTCAGTCTGTGGGTTATTGTGTCCTTTTTTTTTTTAGTTATTATTATTATTATTATTAAGTTTTGATGCATTTTGTTTTTTGTTGTGTTCCCATTAGTCACCTCTCTTTGCTCTTTGTGGTTTCCACAGTTATTACTGTTAACTAAAACTATTTAAAAAATGGAAATATAAATATATATTTTTTTGTAATTTAAATAAAGCTCATATAAAATAAAATAGAAATATTAGATTGAAAAACTTAAAAAAGAGAAATGTTGCATGTTTCATGTTGTGAAATGTTGAAACTGAAAAAAAAAAAAATAATTCAGGGTGAGTTCAGACATCAAGTTTATGAGTTTAAAATCAGGTTAAGCTGATATGTTTTGTGCAAAAATTAATAAAAAAATAAAATAAAAAAAAAACAGGTATAAAAGCACTTGTCTGACTAAAACTTCAACTGAAATTAAAATTAAAACTGGAAAAAAAATAGAAAATAATTCACAATATTACTAAATACTATAATAGTAAATAAATTATGAAATAATACTGATGAGTTCATATTGGTGCTTGTGATGATCAACGAGCATGCTTTCCTGTTTTTAGGGTGTTTTCTAGGACAAATGTGTTCATGTTTGAATACCTCTGTATTGGAAAACATAATACATTGGAAAACATCATGGATGAACCTGTGTGACTGTAGCTACTACCAGTGTGGACGTGCACACAAACAAAACTTTGAACAGTCAAATAAAAAATGCTTTATAAAACAGTGTTTCCC